AGTACGTAGGTACATGTATACATTACCTGCTCATCACAAGAATATACATATCGCTTATAATGTATTTGAAGAAATGATCTTTATTTATTTTTTGGCAAACACCTGTTCTATTTATGAAAAAACTGCTGTTTCGAACACTTAAATCCTATATATAAGCAAGACGTATGTAATTATTGTACTTTTAAAAGATACCTTTGTAAATTATTCAGATGCTGATCTCTTTATGGTAACAGCGTAGACCTCTGTCATCTCTTATTCAGTCCCTGTATCGCAATCAAATCTTCAAGATTTCCCTCGAGTTTCGCTAGAGTTTCATAATCAAAATACAAAGAAGTAAGCTGACACGTCGGTCTACTTCTGCTACTTTCACAGTTACAATCTGGGCCCCAGGGTGCCTTTGAGAGATAAGTTTAAACAGATTAGCATTCTTACACTAACGTCACAGTACATTTATGAAAATGTAATTTATGTTAAGAAGAATAGTAATTTGTTTATGAAAATTAGTGACGGACATTACGTTAAATACGAGAATAAAAATAAACTACGCTGTTGACCGTCGTCTTCACATAGTCAGAAATTCTTTTAAGGGGCAATGTATACGCTTCTATAATAAGATTCCGGGTGACATTCCCAATTTGCCATTTACAAGGTTTCAAAGTATAGTGAAACAAAATTTTATTCTAAAGATTATTTTCAACTTCTGCGTAGTTGGATGACAAAATTCCATGATAGTGACCCGTTTGGCAGCTCGTTCTTGCAGGTATTCTCGATCTAAGGTGTTTGAAATAAATATTGTAAATGATAAATGTATCCAAAGAGCAAATCCTAGAGTTTTTTGCTCATTCTTCTCGGGGGAATCTGCCTTACGAATGACCAGTAGAGTTCAATCAATATGACGATTTTAAGTGTAATTTGCTTACCTATGAAATAAAGATGATTTAACTTTGACTTTGACATTGAATATGTAAATTTAAAACTTAAGTGTAGTTAAATTAAATTTTTTCGAAATATAGATTTTAGAAAACTAACACAAACTGATTTTTACAGATAGGGCCAGTAACAGATACAAAATGGAAACTGAATGGGTCGCGAGCAATCGAAGATGGCGGGAACAGGATCGCAATACACGTCACTCCACCAGATGGAGACGAAGATGACGAGTTCGTGCCCCCGCTGCGTGTGCGACGCAAGCTCAGTACACCCGTGAGCGCACTTGAAGGAGCAGATGGACTCGCTGCTTTACGGTCAAGTGGTACGTTTAGCAATATGTACGTAACTTCTGCGTCATGCCAAGGAAAATGTTTATATTGTATAAGCTTTACTAGGGCAGAATATAATGCCGCTCCAAGGCGTCTCGTCGCTTTTAAGAAATACCCATGTACACAAACTACGTAGTCAACTTTCTACATAACGGAAAATACAAATAACCAAATTAGATGAAAAAAGCCAGAAAGTAACGTTGATAAATCATAATTGTTAATTAAATATCGTCTGTTGCAAGATCATTTAACGTAACGGCCAAAAGTCTATTTTTCAGGAGAGACCAAAAACCATGTATTTATTTTAAAATTGCTATAACTTTCTTATTTTCATCTTATTGGTATGAAGTTTGAACAAAGTTTCTTACAATAGTAAGGACCTTTAACCCAATGACCCAATCTAATTGTAAAATCTAGTGCTGATAGTTTAAAAGATAACATGGCGCTTATGTTATTTTTTTCGTGTCCCAAATACGTTACGTTCCACGCTATATGCAATATTTTATAACATTGAATGTTGACTGTAGCGTAACTGACAAAATATAATATAATTTTTAACATCTCGCATAGCATTTTCAAAACGCTTATATAAATCGTGTTATTTTGAAGTACATATATGTATATATATATATATATATATATATACACACGTTGCTTTGTTTGATAAAACAAATATACACGATTTAAATCCGGAAAAATCGTTTCATTTCCTAAAACTAACTTCTTTAAAATCTTATCATTAATTTAAACACAATAAATCAAAAAGGCTATTTTAAAACAAAGCATATACAATTTTAAAATAATCATATTATCAAGCGTATGTAAGTTACTTTTTTTGCGACCAGTCTTGGGTTCGTTTGCCTTTCCTTTCCCTTGGTTTATTTTTCCTTGAGTTTTCTTTTTCTGACTGAATAATTTATTTTGATTTGTTTTCTCACGATACTTTTGATTTTCCATCCGATCCTTTCTTACCTTTTTTTTTAAAAATTTTATAGCAAAATGTTTATTTTGCTATAAAATTCCTTTTCCTTCATTACGTTTTTTCTTCTGTTCCTGTTTTTTCACATTGCCTGCTATTTTCCTTTTACGTCTTTCAGTCGATTCAAGTACATACTTCTCAACATCTAGTATATCATCTTCGGTGTTTTTATCGCACTCGCCTTTATCTTGATGATCGATGTGAGGATATCAATTTTGTCAACATATTATCCCTTATATAGCCTTATAGCCTCCCGGCTTAGATAGTCTTGAACGTACTGCTTGGGAATCACACCATGGTCACATAGTTTTTTCAAATCATGGTATTTTTTTGTTGAAATAGGTACTGGGTTTGCCTTGTAAACCTTGTAAATCTGAAACCGAATTGATTTTATTGGTAATGGTTGATTCTTCTTCTTCTTAAGGTGCCTCTCCAACTAGTGAAGGTTGGCAGTCAGCTCAGCAAATTTATCTTTATTCCTGGCGAGTCTGAACACTTGGGCGGCACTCGCTATCCCAGTCCACTCTCGTATGTTCCTCAGCCACGATTTTTTCCTACGACCAGCTTTGCTTTTGCCAGCGACTTTTCCCATCATTATAAGTTGCAGAAGCTCCTATCTGTCATGTCTAAGTACCATGTAGTAAGTAAGTATCTAGGTCATCCCAGATATGCAACTTTTATCTGTTTGATGGTCTGCAAAAGCTTACGTTTATGTCCAACTAGTCGCAGAACTTCGTCATTGGTGATTTTCTGAGTCCATGATAAGTGCAACATTCTTCTGTAGGCCCACATTTCAAATGATTCAATACGTTTTCTGAGATGCTCTTTTATTGTCCAGGCGTCACATCCGTATAGAAGTATTGACCAGATGTAACACTGAAGAAGTCAAGTGCGCAAAGGAATCTTAAGACAACGGCAATATTATACTTTCCTCATAGTATTAAAGGCACTCCTGGCAACTTCAATGCGGGTTTTAATCGTTGATAATAAATCTTTACTCCATCTTTTTTGTATCATGGCCCAGTGGATTTTTTTAATATCCAGCGTCTTCTTTCGTAGAGTATTTCGTTTTCATGACGTCTAAATTGGTTTTCTTAAAAGTTGCAATCCTTATGTCCCTTAATTTCAAGTTTTTATTAGGCATAGTTCTAGCCGTAAATACTCGTCCAGTAATTATTTGCCAATCAGTAAAATAGGTACGGTCTAAGACTTTAACTTCGTATGGGCGCGGAAACTTTAGCGCGGTAAGTATGAATGTAGCCCATTTGTTTAGGACTCCACAAAATAAGGTTTAGTATCTAACGTTCGATGACACTATGCATGGAGTCAACAGGCATGTACTGGAAATAGATAGTTCACTTGAATCACTTAGTCAATAACAAAGTACATAACTGTCAAATATGTGCAGAAAAATATCATAGTTTAGGTGCATGTTCACGTTAAAGAAATATAATTAGAATACAATTATTTCATTTTCTAATCAGTATGAAACTAAGGTTTATATCAAAACTTGTTTTAGATAAGTATTTTTTGGGTTTAAAATATTACTAGGTAAGTAAATTCCATTTCCATTTAACTTAAATATCCTGTTTCGTAATTTTTATTACATGTTTGAGTAACAAGTTACTGTAATAACATAAAAATATTAATCTAAGGTCCATTTCTTGTAAAAAAATAAGTACGATATTAGTTAAAGTAACTAATAATTATTTGTTCTAAATAACTGTGAGTTTAATGTAACAGACAAAAGTTTTAGCGATTGCTGTATTACAACAAAATTTTTTGTAGACAGTCGTTACGTTAATTTAGTAAGACTCAAGTTCCTTATAAATGTATCATACGCTAAATTTTTGTTATTTTACCAATGAATCTTCATTTTTATCTAAGGTAACCGCTATTTTTTTCAAGATATAATTGTTTTAACAGCACATTCGATTGGGCGCAAAATTTTCGGTCGAACTATATACATAACTCATTTTCGCCCATTTGGCGGTTACGTTAATTGATCCTACAACTAACGATATGAGAGTAGACAGTCGGCAATTAATGGACGAATAGTTCTCGTGATGTATCTTTTTTATAGACAAATAAATTATCTAACCTATTCGTAGTTTATAACATTGCAAAGGCCTTTTTTGATTATGTTAACGAGCCCTATCGAAAGTCGCGATGTGAAAACCCAAAGGCATTATCCGCAAAAACTGCTAAAAAAACTTATGAACCATTGAATTGGATATGACGCATGAAGAAAAACTTCTTAGTTTTTCATACAAATTGTTTTTTTTTTAATGACATAATAAACACTTATGTAAGTTTCCTTTGATAATAATACTTTGTGTCAAATCGCCTAAATAGAGTTATTCGTAAAATACTAACAATCTCGCAGGCACCCTGTATTACTTAGACAACAATTTTTTTTCCATGTCTTTAGATCGTTCTAGACGGTGATAACTCTGTATGGTAGCAAAAGAAATCAAACGGGAAGCGTTGCCAAACAATTTACTACCAAATACAGATCTAAAAAGAGTCATATGGTACAACTAAAACTTACAAGTTTATTTTTGGTGAATTTTTTACGTTTTCTAAGAAGTTATGAAACTGAAATTGTTTTTTATAATGTTAGTAATATAGTCCAGCTAGATCGTTAGTATTTTAAAAATAACCCTGTACATGTAAGTTATAATAATTTATAATTTGTATGTAAACAGTAGTAACAGTTAACTACGTCTTAATTGTGTCATAAAACCTTTAAGCAAAAAATCTATCTCTAATTTAAGAGCTGTTTGTTACACCCGGCGACTTTTAGCAGCGATGCAGTCGCTAATCGTCTAACTTTTACACACACGTGCGACTTTAAGCATTGATGCAAACGCGATTCAGGCGCGCGACTGCATCGATACAAACGCGCTTTTTTATCGATGCAATCGCCTATAAATCGCAAGTGTGGCAATGCAATCGCGTGTTAGGGCGCGCTCAAGTTAGCCGCGCTGCAACAGCGCTGCAGCCGCGCGACCATCGCGCTGTATTCACGCTCAGTTGTAGCCACGGTTAGTGAGGTGTACACTATTTATGTGATCTGTGGGTGTACATGTTAATTTTTCAAATTAACTACGAAGGACGAAAATCGAGTTGAAGAATTTATAGAGAATGCAAAACAACACCCTGCAATATGGGATATCAGTTCCGCTAGTTATTATAATCGACTGAAAAAAAATGGCATGGGAAAATTTTTTGTCTAAAATTTGTTGACAATTTTGAAACTAAAACTACAAATGAAAAAACATACCAGGTGAGTCATTTTTATACCTATGCGTGAAGTGTGTGCCCCAAGAACTCTGACCCCCCTAACCATATTGCCGAACCTTGTTGATTATTTTGATAAAATAAAGATAACGAACGGATTCTAATACGTTCTGTTCTGTTATTCTTTTTAAATTTTTTTTCTTCAGTTTTAACAAAATAAGTAAAAGTAACTTTTCTTCGTCGGAATCCATCGTGTAACTGTGTCGAAAGATAAAACATCACTAAAAATTTGCGGCGCGACAGACGCGCGACTGCAACGCGTCTTACAGCAGCTAATTTGAATGCGCCCTAAAAGTCGCTGTGTGTAGCCACTCGAGCGCGTTCAAATTAGCCGCTGTTAGAAGCGCTGCAGCTGCGCAACAGCCGCACTGAATCCGCACGGCGGCCGCGTGACTGTCGCGCTGCTGAAGTGCGACCAAATTTTTAGTGATGTTTTATCTTTCGACTTAGTTATGCGATGGATTCTGACGAAGAAACATGACTTTTACCTAGTTCTTGGGCACACACTTCACATATAGGTATTAAAAATTACTTAGCAGGTGAGTAGTTTTTTCAGTTGTACTTTCAGTTTCAAAATTGTCAATAAATTTTAGACATAAATTTTCCCATGCCTTTTTTATCATATTAGAATAACTGGCGGAACTGCTATGCCATGTTGAAGGGTGTTGTTTTACATTTTCTATAATTTCTTCTATTCGATTTTCATGCATCGTGGTTAATTTGAAAAATTAACATGTACACCTCACAAACCGTGACTGCAACCGAGCGTGACTGCAGCGCGATTGTCGCGCGGCCGCCGCGCTTCTGCAGCGCGTATAACAGCGGCTAATTTGAACTAGGCAGAGTTCGTTTTATAAATATGAAACAATTGTCTTGAACCAATTATACTGAGAACACCGGATGTGAGAATGGCCGTTAAATCAAAGTTCGTTTTATAAATCTCAGTCTTACTATCAGTACTTAAATTGACATGTTTAGTACACTATTTTATTAATCATCTTCAGATATTCAACGAGGGTCAGTACAGTCACTTTCTCCCCTGGACCGCACTAAACGACGATTCAGCACGATGGTGTCCAGCGCCACGGCAGCAGCAGTCTCCCGCCGACTGTCCGCCACAATCGGCTGGTGTCTGGCCACACCCACACAGGTCAAACCACAAATCGTTCGCCAGGGAAGGGCTTTGTGTCTACAGTATATAAAAACACAAATTAAAAGATCTGCCATAAATACCAAAAAGGTAAGTTTTGCATATATTTTTTTTGTATTTGATGTAAAATAATATATTGAAGGAATATATTGAAGACTTGAGCAAATATATTCCTACATAGGTAAACATTTTTCTGAAACGTTAACAGTCTCTTATAATCATATGATTGTAAGAGACTGTTAACGTTTCAGAAAAATAAGATATAAGATAATATTATCATTATATCATTGTTCAAGTTGAAAATAATTGCTAAGAAACCTCTTCGTTGATATGACCTTTATTTTTAATTATTGGTTTGTCTTGATCTTCAGAGAGTCTCTTTACAATTTGAAAGATTTGTGGTGTGAATTCACATATTTAAATGGTTTTAATTTTGATGATACCAAATGTATGCAATGCAAAAGTACCAATAAATTATACATTTTGTTATTCCAGAAGTCGGTAATTCGATTTCAAATTTAAAACATTTTCATTTTTCAGCAAATTGTGATAAAACGTCTTCAAAATATGATCGAGACGGAATGTGGTGCAGAAGCAGCAGCTAACGTGGAACACGGGGTAATAGCAGCAATGCGAGCTCTGTGCGTAGCACTGGAACGTAAGCGACCTGAAGCTTTCCGGCACGTGGCGCGCCAGGCCACCCGGGCACCCTCGGCCATGCTCCGCTCAGACACGGCACTCGCAGAATTAGCCTTAGCCCTTGGGCGTCGCGTCACTAGAGACAGTATCACTTGGTCCAAGGTAAAAGCAAGTTAGTTAAAATTTTGCGTAAGTAATTAAGCCACCAATTTTTATCTTCGTATAGAGTTTACGTCAATGTGAAGTAGTCACAATGAATTATGAACTGCATGAATCGAAAAATGATATCTTTTAATATTCTGAGCAATTACACAGGCCCTCTAAATGACGTGCTATTTATAAATTAAAAGATATATACCATTTACTAGAGTGACACAGTTTAGGCACCTGCGTCACATAGTAAATACAGAGCTTATGTATGATTGTGACATGCAAAGGGTGGGAATATGCTGGATCGCAGGTTTGCGTATTGGTGAAGTAAAAGTGTCTTTATTTAAATCATACTGTCAATCGTTTTACTGGAGCGCCCTGTGGGCTAGGTATACCCAAAAGACTTTCAATGAGCTGCGCGACCTATTTAATGACATGTTTAGGATGCTCTTGGGGCTGCCCAGATACTACAGTGCATCTGGTACGTTTGCGGACGCACACGCTGACTTTTTTTATGCAGTAATGCGTAAAAAATTGTATCAGTGAGACGCAGAATACTGGGGAGCCCTAACAGCATACTGATGACACAAGCTAAGAGACAGGATAGTGCTTTACATAGGCAGTGAGTATCGGATGTGATAAATCCTCACGCTGAATGTGTTTCTTTTATTAATTAATTATTTGTGTGTCTGTTTATGTAACTGTCTTATATAACGTGTGTGATTTATATTGTTACTAACATAGATTTTTTAAAATATAATATCAAATGATCGGACGAACAATTTGTGCGCCTGAAGGTAAGCTACATGCTTGTCCATAACAGTTGCAGTGCCACTCAGAGCTTTAAATCGCAAAGAACTTAGGGCCACTGCCACTGCGCCCTGATGGGCGTGATCCCTGAGACATAAGTAGGCAAGTCCAATGTACCCGTAATTTCACTAACACCCTTACCTTTCCAAGCCGGAACGCAGTAATGCTCACATATTTGCTTGGCGACGGAAATAGGTAAGGTGGCTGTACTTCTCTGGACGAACTCTTTCACAAGGAACTCCGCTGCTTAGATTTCGATTAGATTTAAGTTAGTTCACTGACTGACGCTGACTCTCGGAATTAGCCTCTTACTCAGAATTAGCCTTAGCCCTTAGGCGTCGCATCACTAGAGACGGTGTCACTTAGTGTAAGTTAAAAAGTTTTCCCGTGTGTTAAGACACCACTTTTATTTATATCTATATATCTTTGTTAACTTTTTGGACGCTTTTTTATGATATAAATATACTTTACATCGAATTGAAAATAGATGGAATCTTCAAAAGCGGATTTAAATGAAATGCTGCAGATTTCGCTAAAATGCAGATATCTTTTCTTCAAAGACGTAACTTCTTTGATCACATCAGTTTTTGTACTCTTGCACCTCAGAGTTTGTATTAAAACGAATGTTATTTTACGGTAGCAAAGGTCAAGGAAAAGAATAACACTCTACCCGAATATATTACCGTACATCAAATTTCAATTCAAAAGTATAAAGTTCAGCACCTCAACCAAAACCTCTCTTGATTAAAAGCCAAAACACGCACAGACCCCTGCGGGCCAGCACGCAATGTCTGGTTAATACTATAAAGAAGAGATCAGAATAGACAGAATTTTTAATTGCAATTTTCTACCAGTAAATAGCTCTCAAAACGCTGAAAATTGCGCCCCTTTAATTTTAAATGATATATAAAGTAGACCAATGGCCTGGTCAAGGAAATTGAAAAAGTTCATTCGGTTCATTCAGTTCATTTCCCAAATTGGTCCTATCAGGAATCGAACCCGGAACCTCCTTATCCAGCGCTTGCAGTGCAAACAATTGGATCCCGAGGTCGTCTAATGAATACGTTTTCTTGGCAAGAGGATAATCGACGACTTGTGCAAACAACTAACAACAAAAACAGGGAAAACGATTACCTAATTCAGATCAGAACAAAGAATTAGTAGATCTATCTAAGTAGCTGTCAACTTTAAACTGCCTCTGTGGTCGAACGGTTACCATGCCGGTCTGCCACGCATAGATCCCGGATTCGATTCCCGGGCTGGGCGAAATATTTGTATGGCACACATTTATTTCTCTCATGACTTTGGGTGTAATTTGTGGTCATCTATGTGTATGTCCGTGACACCTGCGACTCAGGGTTTCCGTAGTGGCGGGGCTATGAGTGAGTGCATAAAAAAAATCTAAGTTCCTTTGAACTTACATACAAAAAAATATAATATAATACTAATCCGTTTAAAACCTTTATTCTGAAAAAGCTTTTCAGTACGCGTTATACAAATCTAGATCGTTTTAAATTTTTGAATAGACAATTTGTAGTTCGCTTACTACAAAATCTTGAGCGTCGTGAGTATTTATTTGTATGATATATTAAAATAGTAAGATTGAAATAAAAGTATGTACGTACATACTAATTCGTCTTTACCTATATATGTATTTTTTTCACGATAACATCACAACGTCTAACATCAGAAGGTATATTTTCAATCAAAGACATCAAGGAAACCCCATTTTGTTTATTAATCATAGTTGTAAAAAAACCAAGGCTTATTTATAGCAATGTTAACAAGACACAGCTTATTGCAAAATCTGTCAACCACACCAAATGAAATTGAGAATCAGTCAAGCAACAAATTGGGCCGGCGTTCATTTAGGGGTACAAGTACAAGAAAGATTTGTGTTGCAAATTGTAAACATTTGACATATAGACTGAATGCATAGTAGCAAGCAGTTTATAGTTACCTACGTAAAACCGACTGACATATTAACACACGCACACTCACGCACACGCACACAGTACGCACCACGTGGACGGACAGACGCATGTCACATACAAAAAGTCAAGAGCTCGTTTGTGAGTACATATTAGAGGATGGAAAAAGTACATTCGTCACAATAAATTTCTGTCATGTCAATATTAATATTTTCACTTCTCGTGCTCTTAAAATTCATATTTATGCTGGGTGTAGGCTGCATAAAATAGGATTTTATGCTCTAGTGCATAATATAGGATTTTATGCTCTAGTGCATAATATAAAAAAACATCACATTAAATACTTACATACATACATACTTCGGATGCGTTCTGTATTTACACCTCATCAATTTTTATTCTTGCTTGTACTTTTATTTTGTGATTAAGTGATTATTGAAATTATTTTAGTTCTTCACGAATTAAAAGAATTTAATAAACACAATTAGTTGACATTGTCAATTTAATGTCAACAATAATAAGAATGAAATATACCAACGGATTTATATTACATAGATAAGTAATGTACGACAAGCAACTTATTTGTTAGGTACACCCATTAGACACCCATAAAAGTTAGGAACACCCATTGACTTGGGTACACCACAGTCCATGCATCGTAAAGTTCAAATTTCAAAAACGTTTTCCACGCTAGCGTGCAAAAAACGCTTTTGCGCGCAGATTTCTAAGGAGAAAGAAAGCCTTTCCGAGCTAAGTGAGGTGAACAATCATTTTTGCAGCTTTATCTCAAAATGCTGTTTTTTATATTGCAGTATATTGGTTTGACATGGTAGCCTTGTGGGTTGTTTCAATAGCATTTCATTTATCTTGCCCATCCTTGTTGTAGTGGGTTTCAGGAGGAATAAATAGAAACAACGCCTTTTCACCGTCATCTCCACTTTTTTGTTGGGTTTAGCGTGAACTTAGACTTTTATATTTACCATTTACCATATCATATAGGGGAACTTTAAGCTACTTTATAAAATTCGAAAAGCTTGAATCTGTAAATTCGATTACGATTATTTCCTATTTTGCTTAATCCGGTTTTATAATTTTTTTTAACAATAATCCTTTGTATGCCTTTCCGAAAACTCTGTAAACTTCGACAAATATATTGAAATCACAATTCTTTCAGCTCAAAATCTTAAAGCTTTAATCCTATTTTACCCTTTATCTTATCTTATAACATTAAAATCGTCGTGGTTGCTTTATTACCACTTATATTATTATACCAATTCCATATATATAATATAAAGCTACAAGTTCTTACTCACTGATAGAAATAGAACGCATACTTGCCGATATGGTGGATAAAAGATATTTTCAGTACTCGTGCTCTTAAAATTCGTATTTATGCTGGGTGTAGGCTGCATAAAATAGGATTTTATGCTCTAGTGCATAATATAAAAAAACATCACATTAAATATGATTCAATTAAATAATCGTTTATATGTAATATTGCTGTTTAATATCCTCGCAATCGAAGTGAAAAGCAGAGTATATAACTCGTTCATAAAACCCATTTTACCCTCGACTTAAGTATCCTTAAATAGACGTCTCGGGTAAAATGACGCGCTTTATGCACTTGTTGTACAATCTACTATTATACCGTTGTACTCGGATAGGTTCCAAAGCAAAGAATCAAATATGAGAAGTCCTAAATGTGGAAAATATGAAAGAATGATCAACGACCTACGAAAACTATAATATATGGAGAGGATACTTGTGCACTTTTATGAGGTACACCATAGTCGATTTACGCCGGAAGTAAAAAGTGTTCGAAATTCAAATAAACAAGATGGCCGCCATACAAATTTTAAAGTCTCCTATCACAGAAACTATTAGAGATAGGTAGGAGGTGTTGGAAGGAATGTCACAGAGGGTAGTAATGATCAACTGCCTATGTCAAAAAAATTCAAGATGACGAATTAAAAATGGCGGTCGAAGAAAAACTTGCTTCGATCCGGCTGGAAATTGGCATGCGGAGGTCTTTAGAAGGCCATAATCATAATTTGGAATTAAAATTTTTGTTTCGTTACTTTTTAATATGGCTGCCATATAAGTGTCTTTTTCGTTAAAAATGGCTGCCGGAAAAGACTTGTACTGATTCGGCAACAAATTGGCATGTGGAGGTCAGGACTGCCGGATAAAAATTTGTGGTCAAAATTTGTTTTTCGCCATTTTCAAATATGGCTGTCAAACGAGCCTTCGTTAGCGACAGAAAAAAAATTGCTTTGATCCCTTTGAATATTGGCATGTAGAGGTCCATACAGGGTTCGTTTATTACATTATTGGCAAGTTCTTCCTAAACGTGTATATCCACACGTGTACTTGTTACACTAAAATACAGTGCAGGTTTTAACTTCGCTACTACAAAAGCGATGGATCTGCAGTCACAAGTGATATATACTTCGTGGGTTCAAGCTTCAGTTTCGCTAGAAGCCAATTCAGTCTAGAATTTCCGTGTTGGAATGTGTAGGCCCCCAAAGTAAATCCTTTGGTATTCAAACCTTTGGGAAGGTTAAAGCTTCTACCGATATTAGGTCTCATACTGATAACACCTGACCTTCTCCTTATTTATTCCCACTTTAAACTTATAAAAAAATGTAGTTACCCACCACCGTGTTCCTCATTTATAAACCACTAAAATATATACGCACATACTAATGATACACGAATTTTACCTCATGATTCTATTGTTGATATTATAATCGAGATCCTCAATTAAGTCTTAAAATATTAAGATATATATCATCAATATCCTAATGTTGCACTGATTGTTGTTAGCTATTTTAAAAATCCTTCCCAAAGACATCCATCATCGAGCGAATTACCCAAGAACAACCAAGTGTTTTGTTCCGCCTGAAAAATTTTTTTGTCAACTTTACACTTTTCTTATAAATAGTAATGATATATACAGTATAGTATAGTGATAGGGACATTAGTATCCTGAAACTTTATAAACCATTCTACTCCTTTATTGGCGACCTCAGGCAGCAATTCCGATATTAATAATAATAATAACGCACACGCTCAACATACACATAGAAACCCAAAAAATCAATCAAACTCACGAGAAGAATAAATGCAGGCCATACAAATATTTCTCGCGGCCCGGGAATCGAACATGGGACCTCTGCGTAGCGAACCACTATGATCATACGGCCACAGAGGCAGTTAAAACATGTTAAGATTTAAAACTTAATAAGACGTATATGTTGATGAGACATTGGATTTACGAGTATGACATGCAAACAAGCCAAGTCTTCAGAATGGCATCTCGAAAACAAGGCGAAACCCAAGAAACTGCGTCAAAATCTGATGGTTTTCCTCGATTTGATCTGCCGCGGTGTGGTGCACTACGACTTTCCGAATTCCAGAGGGACTAACGGTGAATAAAGAATTTTATTTAGGCAAATATCCACCGAAAACAGTCGGATATGTGGAAATAACAATTCATAAATTTTGCATCATAATAATGGACCATCGTACAAAGTCATCATTGTGCTGTTGTGCAAGAGTTTTTATCCAAAAGCTCAATGAAAATCATAGAGTTTTTAGCCAAAAACTCAACGAAGATCATCGTCCAACCACCGTACTCACCTAATATGGTTCCGTCTGACTTTTTCTTACTCCCGAGACTAAAATTACCTTAATTATATGGTCGATTATAGATAGATGATGATGGATAAGAATATAGATAGATTAAATTCATTGCACGAACGAGTACGTGAGAATTCGCTCTCCTTAAGCGTTATACACGTAACACAACGCCTCCACGGTGTCGTTCAATAAATATTTTTTCACTGGCTCATTTATGTTTTATATATTTTATAAATATGTAAATAGTTTTATAAATATGATCTCAAATTTTGTTTTAGATATGAACATAAGAAATAGTGTACCTACAACCTTCGGAATTAATTCTTGGTAGACAAAGGTACCTATTTCGAGATTAACAATTTTCATGCTATTAATGAGTAAATTGCTTTGTTCTTTGAGACGATTTGTTTTTTCCTCTCGATGGGCTCATAAATCGAGAAATCTCGTTTTATTATTAATTTCCATAAATTCGAATCTACACTTTTTTATACATAAAATAAATGCTCGTTTGACCTCCAGGACACATGATGGAAAGTCATGATGAGGTCGACGTTGGAGCATGCACACCTATTCGTTCGCTTATTCATTCTCGCCTTGAAAGGCTCAAATTTTAGCGTTCAAGTAAATAAAATCTGCAGGCAAAAATTCCATTCAAATGCCATACGCCACGTAATGTGGAAGCGTAACTCTTCGTGCGAATCTTGAGTATACCCCCAACACAGAGTTAGAACACCAGCTTATGTCTAGTGCAGCGATCATGAAAATGGAAGTGAATTTATTTCATTCAATTCTTCAGTGATATATCCTGTAGCATACAGATAAACAGGTAACTTTTGGCGGTGTTCAAATACCTGCAATTTCCCCGAATCACTGATAAGCATCTTGGGTCGTTTCTCAATGGAATTCAAGGTGTTCAGTTGTATTTAGCAGATACATTCCACAAGTAGCAACAATACTACATACACTACCAAACCTGCGCATGGTAGGTACAGTAGTATGAACTACACCAGTATGAAGCAACACCTCACATTGCTAAGGATGCTAAGATCGGGATACATGTTTATTCATAATGGACGACAGGCCCATAGCAAGTAGCTAGAGACGGTCACCGATCAGTATAGTAAGGTCACCGATCAGTAGATATGTAAGGAAAAATGAAATTCACGTCAAAAGGACTCCGTTTTGTGGAGAATATACACGCCTGCGTTTTGATAGCGTCAAATTTGCTCCTTTACTTTTTTTTATTATATTTGCTACAATCTTTCTTTGTTAATCTATTTGTTCTTCAAAATACGAGTCATTGACTGTATGTTAAATTTGAATTAGCGTTAATTAAAGAATATTTAATTTCAATTAGCCCTTATTTTGTTGTATCATATCAACAAGACGTTAATACAAGCTTCAGGGTTTGACTCAACATACATAATTACATAACATAAAACCAAAACTTCAGTCGCGTAAAGTGGAGTGCCAATACGCATCCTTCCGATTTGCTTCACTGATACCTAAATCGTCCAATGCTGCATAATCTTCTTCTTATCGTGTCTATACTTCTTTTATTTTAGGACTACATTGACTGAATAGTAGGTATATTGCTACCTTGACTGCGTTCTCCTTGGCCGCGTAGAGATCTTCCCTTGTACAGGTATTAGGGCACAAGGGGCTCAACAGTCAGTGCTGCATGAACTGTGTTGGGGTATCGCAGTCACATTACGTTAAACTAGCATCCCTAAAACCCCATTTATACATATTGTCTCAAAATTACGTAACATACAATTAAAACCAAAACTTGAGTACCAATAAACATACCTTCCGATTTGTCCCACTGATGCCCAATTCTTCCAATGCTGCATAATATAAATGTATATTTTGTAAAATATTACATACTTGTACTAAGAAACAATATCTCAAAATTCGTAACCACAAAAAATTCTGACTGACAAAGTCGGTAGAACAACGTATCCTTAATGAAATTATTTTGCGGTCACAGATTAGATAAGTTTTCCAGAGTTCGGTAAACTTTGAATGGCCTAAAAATGGATAAAGTTTTACGATAACCCGATATTAACTTAATCTATTACCATGTAAGAGCTTATGGCTTTCTATAAAATTTACGTACTTGTTCCGTAAATCTTTTAATTTCAAAACTGTTAAAAGTCGTAAGTAGTCCTTTGAAACTTGCATAAGAGTGCAAACAGATTCGACACGTAGATAAATTTGTCGTTAACTAAACTGAAACCGATTTATCTACTTAAATCACTCTCTGCTCTAACTTTAACGGTGTCACTAACCTAAAACCTGATTTAGAACATAAAGTAATTTACCACACAGGACAGGCCAATAAAAGCATTTCATTGATAACACAGATAGCAGCAGTATACTGCATATGTGGAGCACTGGCACGAGAAGCAGCTGAGGCAGCGGAAGGCGAGCCTGCAATCGAGCTGGTTGCAGCACCAGCAGCAGCCATCGCTGATCTACTGCACGAGGACACTGGCTCTTGGATCGCTGCTCACGGTGGATGGGTACTAAAATTTTACCACGGAAATTAATATCTAGATATTATTAATACTAATATTCAGGTGTAAGTAACCGTCTAATAATAAAGTCGTACATATACTCGTAATCGTAATCACACAATACAAACCGTTACGGCCACGAAAATAAATGGAGGAGATTATCAATTCGACTGTATGCTTTTTTATTTTGTATGTATATTACGCCATAACTTGTGATTCGATTTTGATGATTCTTTTTTTTGTTGAAAAGAGAGTACCTCAATAGTGGTCCCATTTAAATTTGAAGAAAATATTCCGCCTCTAAGGGTGGCAAACTAGGGGATGAATCCGGTTTCAGTACTTTCCGCTAACCAATTCCAATAAAACTTGTCAAATAGATGTAATTCCACAAACTTAAGGCCGATTTTTTAGCGCGTAATCCTAGGTCTGTGGTTTTTTAGTACTCTGTACTGAGATTATTTGTAGTATAGTTATAATTATATAGTAAATGTTTCAGTACAGGTATTTCGCTTAATAAGAAAGCGATGTTTAACATTTTTTCCTTGAAGTATAAAAGTTCAAAGAAAACTGGCGAAAGAGAATACCTTGAAAATGCGTCCTATAACGTGAAGACTATAGATAATAAATATGCTCTTTAATATTAACAAGGCAGTGTACTTAGAACCTATGTTAATGTCTTTCATATATCGCTTCCATTACGAAAACATACCACTCGATCCACTATCCCTTCCTTCATAAATAATTAAAATTCCAAAAATATTCAACGACCTCATAAATGCGAGCGATGCAGCAATTTGGGGAGAAGTGGTTTGTACAGTACTTTGTACTAAAATCTCGCAAATATAGATGAATATCAGTGCCTCCACTGAAAAACAAAATAAGACGTGTTATTTACTTTTTATTGCACCATTGGCTTCAGCATGTCCGGTTACATACGTAGGGCGCACTAAGTTATAACTTCCCGGAATCAATCAGAAAAAAATACTATAAATGGTCAGAAATGAATTTATTGTTTCTCAAAATATTCTCCGTTGGCGTTAATGCACTTTTTCATACGAGTGAACCAATTTAGAAAACATTTATGCCACTCCTACGTGACAATCTCTGAAACATATTTTTCATACTCCTCGACAGCCTCTTCAGGTGATGAAAATCATTGGCCGCGTAACTGGTTCTTAATATTTGGAAATAAACAAAAATCACAAGGTGCCAGGTCGGGACTGTACGCGAGATGGCTCATAAAGTCAACGTTCACCTTCAAAAATTCATTTGTCTGTCTGGCCTTGTGAGAACTGGCATTATAGAAAAAGAAAGAAAGAAAGAAAATACATTTATTTGTTTACCACAATGACACCACAAAAGACAAAAGACCAAAAAAAAGAGAAAACGAAACAAAACAGAACTAAAACAAAACACGATCAAAATATTCAACGTAAAACATAAATAAATAATTACGAAACAAAAACACAAACAATGTTTGTGTTGACGCTCCTTCGTTGAATCTGGTAAGCATGGCATTACACAAAGTGACGCGATCCGTTTTTTTAGCCTCAGTCAAATTGTGTGGGATCCACCGAGAGCACAGCTTTTTCACACCCAAATGTTTGTGTAGTATTGATTGTATTTGACTCATGCCAATGATTAAAGATGCCCGAATCTCATGGTATATCACATGCCTGTCTGTTTTGATTATACGGCGCACAGCATGGATGTTTTTGTCGTTCACAGCAGTGGACGGACGACCATCACGAAATTCGTCACTGAGATTCACACGACCGCGTTTAAATTCTGCAAACCAGCTATAAGTAGTCGTCTTGCATGGTGCTTCGTCGCCAAAAGCAGTTTGAAGTCGAGCGAAGCTCCGCTGAGCTGTTAAATTACACTTAAAGTCGTAGAAAATCATACTACGAAAATTTTCACGAGTTAAATCCGTGGTGATGTAGACAACCAATTTCTAAAATGACGCCACAATGTAAAAACAAGAGACAGTCAGATGAAACAAACTGTATTCTACAGCCAAAGAGTTCCATTTTCAAATGTTGTAATTACTTTCTAAATATTGTTTATGTAAGTGGCCAGTTCCGGAAACATACATATCAAAAGGACATCTCTCTAGAAGTCTCCTAACCTCGTTTTTTATTGAACTACGGGCATAGCTCACTGTTTCTAAAAGTAAAATCTTATTTATCGGATTTTTTTATGAGTCTAAAGTACAGTGCTCTCAACTCAACCGTTTGAGTTTTTTAGTTAATTAATTCTTTGACGTCCTCGTTAGGATTCGGTCCATCAGAGAAACCCCAAGCAAAGCTCGCTCCATCGCACGCTGAGCGACCTTGAATTTGTGGATGAGGCATGTTGTTAATGTCCACGGTCTCGTCTCGGTGCGTGGGACATAACTGGTAGAACGCACTGGTTAAATGCCTTAGTTTTTAGGCTTTGTGGGATTGACGACCTGAAGAAGTGGCTAAGCTTCCCAAATGCCGCCCTGCCCAAACGAATTCTCCTGTCGGTTTCCTTCTCGAAGTTGCGCTCCCCAAGATGGTTATTTAAGTACTTAAGTAGGTAC